TAAATATGCAGAACTGACACATAGAGACCACATAAGCATTGGTGGCGCCCATCCGATCATCATATTTACCCGCCCACAGCAAGCCTATGCTAATCAGAGGCGCAAAGTGCAGGAAGTGGTTCACTATGTGATTCCATCCCTCGATCAATCTTTCAAAGGTCGGAACTGCGCCACTCAATGTCGGAGTACTTTCACTTGACATTGCTTGTTGAGCAGCGTGCGGTACCTATATCAGACAGTGAGACAGATGTATATTAGAATACATTAGCACTGACCTCCAAATCACTTCGAGATCCTGCAGAAAGTGCCATTCCATCGGAGTCAATCTCAAGAACATATCCACAGCCTAGGCTACCATTAGTCTGTGATAGATGTTAGTGGGGTGGAGGCTTACCTGGCGAAGGGTATGTAAGCGGTTCAACATGACATAGACCGAGTCCCAACGTGTCGGCTCATCATGGAGGAGTTGTACGACAGGCAGCCGGGTGGGGGAACCTGTGTGGTCTAGGAACCATTTATTGTTGTTACCCATGGTAATGGTGATCATGAAACTGTCACGCGCTGGATTGATGCACGGACTGTGTGCACAAGTGCTCTAGCTCGATCAAGGGCTTTGCCTGCTAGGGCTTGGACATATGCTGCCTTGTTGATGGTCTCACCACTGACTACCCATGTCTCCGACACATCTGAAAAGTCAGCAATTGAGTACTCGTCGATAATGTGTTTCACGCATATGTTGATAATATGGGGGAAGCACGGAATCCGGTGCTCAACAGGATTGAATTCTATCCCGCGTTCCTCCAGTAGACGTGAGTACTCTTGCATGGAAGTGTGATTGTTGCCAGCGTTGTCCAGGGTAAAATGTCCAGACTAAATGGAGTCAGATCATGTCACCAGTAAAACTAAGCATGAACCTTCTCTGTCACTTCGACACGATCGAGGAGGCCCAATATTGATTGGGCTAGGCAATCTCCTGCATGACTCCCTGGTGTGTGGTTGAAAGCGATCAGTGCTGCTTTCAAGACGAGCACGGAAGTTTTCACATCTTTGGCAATCCAGTGAGCTGTTATCGCCATGAAAGGGCGGAGGTTGGAGTCTGACCACAGGTCAGACGTGAATGAAATCTTTCCCTGCGCCATCTGAAAGATATAAGATACTTTTCACGACTTTAGACAACCGTACTTACCGCAAGGCCCCTTTTCAAGGCCTCGAAGTACTCATCAAAGGCCTCAAGGATCAACTCATGAAATTTTGTGCGATGGTAGATATCGCTCTCGTTCAATTCTGGGCGTAGAAGGCGAATCAACCGATGAAACTCAGGACACTCAATGATGTTGATTGCCTGAAGGTGTTATCAATAATAGCGCATAGAAATTAAACAGCGACTCACCTGATCGTCGGCAACAACAAACCTCACCAGTTGTTGATGCATCTCGTCAAGGGTGAAGTTAGGAATTTCATCCTCCAGAGTTCCTGGCTGTCCAGTTCTGAGCAGCGCATCACTATGACTAGGAACATCTCCGAGCGAATCAATTGTGCGAGTCGGATCTCTGAGCCTTTCACGTATTGCTATGACGGTCCATCCTTCATCAAGAAGAGCGTTTAAAGGCTTGATCTGTATGGGCCAGCCCTGGCGCCCTGCCTCCTCCAAGTAAATGAGGGTATGATGATTGTATACATGGTGATGAGGGCCTGTATTGCCCGTGGTGGTTTTGTACGTTGTAACTTTGTACGTCGGGTCAAGTTCGTGCAACTGCCTAGTGAATGATGTGAGAAAGAACACAGGAATCACAGAGATGATGCTCACTCGCAAGGTATGCAGGTATTGCGCCCAGTAACTTCATTCAGCCTGAAAAAGAAATGGAAATCATCAGCGCCTTTGGCCTTTTTCGTTAGATTACCGGTGTCCAAGAGAGTAGTTTGAGTGGGATGGACAGTATGTGTGGCTGTCTGAAGTGGGCTAGGGCCTGCAGGAGCCCTAATGGTAGGTTCAGGCAGGCCATACTCTTCATTGTCATCATCACCAGAGACATTGTCGAGGTCAAAATATTCCCCTTCATCCACTGTAGGTTGAGAAGGGCTGAAGTCTCGATATCTATGAGGGAGCTGGTGTTTTCGATTAGGGTTTGTAAGTGCATTCGCTGTGATGACAGTGCGGATGGCAACAGTAGCGGGGATGGGGACAATGGTAGCAGGGGTGGGAATAACACCTGCGAGGACGGGAATAACACCAGTGGGGACGGGAATAACACCAGCAGGGACGGGAATAACATCAGTGGGGACGGGGATAACATCAATGGGGACAGGAATAACACCAGTGTGGATGAGCACAGTGGGAGCAGGTGTGGTGGTCGTCTTGGGTGCACGCCGACGAGGTGCCATGTTGGTAAGAGCAGCAATGCAGATATAACAACATATTTGCCTGTTTTTATAAGCCTGTGTCAGGAGAGACACCGCAAAATGCCAATAGATTAAAGCTAACCTTGAAAAAATGTGTTCATCCATGAAGTCGATTGGCTAATCAGCGATTGAGTATCACAATCCAATAAGGTTCACCTAGCGAAAGAGCAACAACACGTTTCATGGAATATCCCCCCACACAGCATGCGATGAAGTCATCCAACAAAAGGGCAGTGACACATTTAGTGGAGAGTCCCCAATAGCTTCCAGTGCTGTAGACATGATGGCAAGTACTGATCCGGGCGATCTCGTATCTGAAGCTTAATAAGTTTAACACTTGATGACTCATTAAACAGCCACAATCGTGGATGAGTGTGCATGTATATGGATCCCTCTGTATGTTGAAGGGAGTGTTGAGATAAAACATAAGAGGGCACGCCGTAGGAGTTGAGACTTGAGAGTGTCTGATTCAGGAATGACAATTTTTCTATAATAGCTATTCATACATACAGCTAGTTCTAGTCTTGGCAACAATATATCACACACACGTATGTACAGGTAGTAAACATTCAATAGATTCATCTCACGACATGTTCCTTGTTGCGGTGTGGAGTGGAAGCGGTTGCAGGTAGTGGCCCAGGGCTATTACGTGGGCGGAGGCTTCAGGAAAAACAGGATCATCAGTTTACAAATTGGAAGATGAAAAGGAATTACGCACACACGAGTTGATCTGCGAGGAGGGTTTGCCTTCATTGGATGTGGTTGCACTGCCTCGGCCACCACCTGTTCATTGGAGAATGCAGGGGTATGAATGATAGGATCGGGCTGGCCAAAATCCAAAAGGCATGTAGCTGGCGTTGGCGATGTGTCAGAAATACCGTGGAGTAATGAATGTAGATAGTCATAGTCAGGATCCTCCGAGAATGCAAGTGAGCGTGTGTAAATTAGAAGACTTGCAAACTCGACGGGAATTCCGTGACATAAGACTTCAACAGTAGTATTTACTTTGCGCTCAAGCATGGAAGAATTGGAGAGCTTTTCGTGATCGCTGGTTAACCATGGGAGGGAGCCACGCAAGAAATATATCAGCATATATGTGAGGGACTCGAGATCGTCACAACGACCTGGCTCAACTCCTAAGTGACTGTTGATTGAGGCGAATGCAGGTGTGCCAGTGAGACAACGACCTTGGCGAAATGGTATATGGGCTCTGGTTGAAGTATTGCAGTACTCCTTCGAAATACCAAAGTCAATTATGAAGGCGGTGTGCTTCAAATTGTCGAGACCAACTAAGATATTCTGGGGTTTGATGTCACCGTGAATGAAATTGTGTGAGTGGATGTATTCGAGACATGAGAGCTGGAAAAATGGAGTTAGCTCTCTGCAATGGCCTTTCACAAAGTGGCTGACCAACTGGTTTCCTAGATTCACAATGTTAGGAAGGCTGAATCTTCGATCATGCGCAATGAAGATATCATGCAACGACGGCCCGAGGAGATCAAGAACCAAAGCATGGTATGTTGATTCTCTGCCAAACCAAAAGACGTGGGGGATCCCAACCCCGCCTGCGAGTTGTTTCAGAATCTTGTATTCATTGCACACAGAGGACGAGCGGTTGATGATAGGTTCGAGTTTGACAGCAACTGAATCATCCTTGATGAAGTTTTGTGCGTGGTACACAACAGCTAAGTGAAGCCCAGATGGTGAATATAGTCACTATGTGAATGACATAGTCACGTACCGTATGAGCCAGACCCCAGAACATTTCCCAGCCTAAATCTGCCATCAACTCGAGTAGGGACCTTATTCATGGTATGAAATAACGTAGAGTAGATCCAAGAGTCAAGAAGGAAGTTGGAGGAAGTATTAATTCCACATTTTACAAGCAGTTCAACCAGCTTGAACCAGCTGAAGGCCAGTTCAAGCCGTAGTTTGGCTTTAGTTGGTTCTTGCAGCTGACTAACAGAATGAACCAGTTTACATGGCAAATTGGTGGCTTAGTTCACTACAATGACCGAACTACGAGTTTGTCGGTAGATGCCGAGCCTGATCGGGCCATAGCCGAACTGTGGCACTACTAAACCAAGGTACATGTTAGTGTGTACGGGGGCGAGCAGAAAACGATATTCATCATCTCTGCTGCCCTCAGTGGCAGAAAAAAAGTTCTGCCATGTATGTATCAAATCCAGGAAAACTACTGATACTCACGCAAAGCCCGAGAGAGCAGTCAGACCTGGCGCATTGATAGTCATAAACGCACAACTTGGGACAATTGACATCGGCCCCAGTCGCGTCGGCGGATATGGCAGAGATTATTGATGCTAAAGCAGCGGAGACGGCGAGGACAGTTGCAGAGGAGAAACGCATTGTTTGCAAGTGACTCGTGTGATATAGTAGGATTGAATCATATCATGTAGGAAAACGGCTGGCTTTTACGGGCTGAATGTTCCTCTTGCGTACGCGGTCTACCTTCAAATGGATGCAAATGATACTTCATCACATGATTACCGCGACAGCTGTACATGACATTAGGCTTCAGATCGTATTGTCTCAGCTGATATCCACGTGTGCCGCGTCAATCACCTCCGGCTCCTCCCCCTCAATATCAGCAATATCAATAAAACTTTGCTCAATCGCGCGTGCGTACGCGCCCATTTTCCACATGTCCCCTATCTTGATGTTAGCATGGTCGAATGCAAATGCAACGACGGGGTCGCCAGCCTGACGCTCAGATACAGAAGGTGGCATCTTGGGGTAGCGGGCCGAGAAGTGTGTAAGGAGGATGTTTTGTGCGTTCATGCTGTTTACAAGTTGAACAAAAGTCTGTGATTGTATTGCATGGAAACGCACCTCTTGCCTATGTCGATTGCCTGCCCAAAGGTGCTGTGCATCTTGGCGCGTGCCATTTCAACTTGATCGTTGGCCATGGTAGCCTCATGGATCAGCAGAGTGGCTCCAGCACCTGCCTGCACGAGCTTTTGGGTTGGCACTGTATCACCCGAGAACCTGAGGATGCGCTGTAATTAACACAACAGGAGAGTAAAAAGCGACGCCGTACACAACAGACCACCCATCCAGATGCTTGACAATTAATCCATGGCACCTCGCGCGATGTTCCACATCGACGGTATTTATTTTCTGCAATCCAAGCGTCTTGCACAACGCTCCGGCTGCAAGCCTTGACCTTTACGATAAGAGAACAATAAGCGTCAATGTATGAGAAGACTAAGAGCTCAAACTGGCACTCACCCCTTTTGATCTTGATCACCGTAATTCCACCCACCCCGTCCCTTGTTGCGCCAATGAATCTCATCACTCAGGATAGGTACCACACGGGCCCGAGCATCCTCCGAAAACCCAAGCTCCTCAAGCGCATTGTAATCCCGAAGATAGAGGAGTACCATGCGATTGCTGATGAGGTAGAGTGGTTCTTCCGGAGGCGGGTCAAGCTTCTCCACATATGAACACCAGGAGATCATCAGGGTATGAGCGGGGATACGCACCTGCTGTCTCATTGCCAGGATCTTTGCGAGACCAATGTGGTGGTCACCGTGAATGTGGCTTATGAAGATACACTTCAGGGCCCTTAAAACGTTCCACACAGCAGCTCCATAGTTCCGAGAGAGTTGTCCCCATGTCCCCTCTCCTGCATCCAGGAGAATATACCCTGCTCCCGGGATACACAGCAGTGTACCAGAAACTACACAAATAATTCAGTTGGGTTTCTGGGGTGAAAACGGAAAAGGACAAACCATTTCGGTACTTGCTAGGTATAGCACTACCTGTTCCGAGCGTGACCACCGTGACGTCCTTACCTATAACATCAGGTACTGCAGCCTCATCGACGCGCGCTTGTGCCTCGGAAAATTGTGTTCTGGCAGCGTCAGAGAGTGATGAGAGCTCGCCAGACAATACGGCGGGGTGAAAGAGATCATTCGCTTCTGCCTCAGGGTCTCGTAGTGGTGGCCGTGGCGGACGGATGTCGATGACAGTATGCGCGCGCATGCAGTCGGTATTGGACGGAAGACTCGCGGCTACCACATCTTAAAGTTACAGGACATAATTAGGAATTAAAGTAACGCACTGTCCATAGTTTTCTTAGCCTCTAGAGAATATTTGGGCACAGGGAAGATGTCGCTATCCAGGTGGTTGAGCCTCAGCTGGTTGAATGCCGCGCTAGTAAATGTGATCGGATCTGATCCATGATCTCTAGACGCAACGATATGCTGCTCTCAATCGCGTCAGAACAGCGCAGTGCACACCCAGAACAAGAGGCACTCACGTGTACATCGTCATCGAACCTTTTCATGAACGCCTTATACCGCTCATGCTCAAATACATCATTGCCACAAAGATGAAAGACAACTCTCAGCGAGTGATCTTTCTTTTCCGGCCCCTTGCCCCAGTATTTTGAGAACGCGCCACTCTCAAAACCCTTTACAAGAGAAGGTATATGTGCAGTGCTGGGCGTGTCCAGTATCAAGACGACCTATAATTCGATCAGCCAACTGTGTCCCAAATCGAGAGCGAATGGTTAGAAAACGCGGAAAATGAACGTACCCCAGGATTCTCACTAGCACCTACAACATCACTCGGTCCAACACTTCTCTCCACTCCATCTTTGCCAACTACAGTGACCGTCTCCCCCCTTGCAACTCGTGCACGTAACGGCCCAGCACTTAGGCCCAGCACCTCCGCGCGCTTGACATCAAACTTTCCCCGAACCCGCGGGCCAACCACCGCATATGCGAGCGTTGCACGTAGATTGCATGCAGGCAATGAAGGTAAGGGGCGGTTGAAGCCTGACGGCTGGGAGACATGTTCGACTTTCGCGGACGAAATGACGGGTTTGGCGGCAGACCCAGGAAACATTGCGCGCACAATGTGACGAAGCCATTCCTGTGCCATGTCACCGACGAGCGTGGTGGGGTCGAAGTCAGGGTGAGATATGACTTCCTGTAGCGGTGGTGGAGCAGGGGAAGACGAACGCTTCCTCTTTCCCGATCTCCTGTTAACGGCACTAGTTTCAGAGTGTGGCATTATGTCCGATTCCGAGGATTCCAGTGAATGGATCTCAGTAGAAATTGGTAATGCGAACACAGAAATATTATCGTCCTTGTAGATGGGTATATCGTCAGGTAATTCATCCGGGAGGCGGGAAGTAGGTATTTCGATCGGATTCACGGACATGTTTTCCCTATGCTGATAGTATTAAGATGAATTATTGAAGATCAGAAAATAAGTACCTGAATGTGTATTTACGCATAGCTGCCATGAAGTGCAACAGCCCGGCTGGCCCGGCAATATTGAGGCTGGTAAGACCCGAGTCCGCAAAAGTCATCAATAAACCTGTCGAAAACACGATCAACAGTTGACACGCTATCAGGATCACACTCACCTGGAAGGCCGCTCGCTCGCTGGGTGCCTATAGAAGTCAAGAACACACCTCTAGTCTTCTTCCAGTTCCTCCTGCTCTGGAGAAACGCACGGGTAGTATTCTCACCGACATTGAAGATATATTTTGCAGAGTCAAAGGTGATGAGAATAGTAGGCTCTGTATCTGAGGATACAGCGCTGAGGACTGACGCATTCCAGGACATGGGCACTGACAATGACGAAGATCGTGAAAAGAATCGTGCTGAAGAATAGTGAAGAGAATGAGTGATGCGGGATAGTATATACAGGTTACGACGACATTGCCAGATAGCCAGACTGAATGAAACCTAGAAGATGTAATTAGACTAGGTTTTCTAATAAGTAGATGACTCGGAGATCAATCGATCACGCGTCACGGTTCTCCTTAGTCCTAGCTAAGCAGAAAATAACGTTTGTCAACACGCGCATACATGACGGTACACACAGACATCAGCAAATTCCCTATGAAATGATGCTTGATTGTCGTCAGATTGTGATCGCACTGCAAACATCACAAGCACTTACAACCATTACAATTGATGACAATTGTTGTGCAGCCAGTTACATTCGCGACATGCCTAATTACTCTTTGAATGTAATCTCACATATTTTCGGCACCAACTGGCAACTTTTCAAAACATTGCATCCATTGTAGTACCATTACACACACAATATAAATATGTGGTCAAGACAGGTAATCACGCGGCCATCGCGTCACAATGAGAATCAAAACAAAATATATTTAAAAGATAAATTCACTGTCAAGCAATGCCAGCTACGATGATGTAGGAAATGTAGAACCATTATACTGTACTAGTAGCTGCCCTTCTTGCTGCTGCCTGAGCCTTCATCATTGCCATCACGCTGTCCTCACCCTCATCCCCCTCATCGTAATCTATGATGTCCGAGAATATGCGCCTGCCAAGATGAACACCATTGAGATATAAAACGATACAACACAGGGAATTGTCATACCCATTCCACCATGTGCACAATGCTGCCAGTTCACCATCGTCAAGTGCTTCAAAGGTCGTCCTGACGATATTGTTGTAAAATGCTTCATAGGAGAATTGAGACTTGTGACCACGGGACATGCTACCCTGAGAAGAGAGCACAAAATGAATCTACAAACACATTAGTGAGACAAAAACTCAAGAAGTCAGCAGCCTGACACACTTACCAATGTTGCAACATATGCGATTGATGGAATGCTGACTGTTCGAATGCCATGCAGTGCAGCATTTCCATGTCGTGTGGTCAACCTGCCTGACACACCATCCAAGCAGATTGCCGAACTAGGAGACTTGAAAATATGCAAGTAGCCCTTGAAGAACTGGTCAGGTTGACCTTGGTACCGAGCAACACTACCCACCTGAACAAGCAACTCATTCTCCAACCAGCCTTTGAAAAAGTCATTAGGGTCGACCACCTCGTTAAGCCAAAGAAAACAGGGGAACTGTGAAGATGTGACCACCATTGACCCATCACGAAGGCCATCTTGAGTCCAACCACAGTATATTCATGAAAAAGAACACTCACAATGGGTCAGAATAGTTACGATTTGCAGGACACAGCAGCTTTCCTGTGCACTGGTTATTGAAACCAAGAGTGTGACGTGCAGAGACAAAGACCGAAGGATTGATACTTGGAAAGCGGCGCCAATGTGCAATCTTCTCTTTGATGCTATTGATGTCATCCCCATGAGCTCGCCGGCGTGCATCATCGAGCTGCAAAATTTCAGTTAAACATATACTGCAAAAGCATGCAATAAGGTTACCATGGAGCCGACAACCAAACATCCAGCCCTATGGACTTCGTCAATGATGCAAGGGGCCAACGAGCAAATGGATTTATAGATGTCATATTGCTCATCCTCCCTGTCAGAGTGCTTTGTGAGAGACAGTACCAGGATCCTGTGTGAGACTTACTTTGGTGTATACTCACCATGACTGCTACTATCGGCCTCGCGTTGGATCCCCTTTTCGAGAATGGTTGTGTTGTGCTGCCACATATCGACCCAGCGTCCAAGCATATGGCCTTTGTGAATGAGCATTTTTTTATTTACGGCCACAACTTGCTGCTGGGCACTAGCCTTCTTGATGCTAAAGGGAGTCTTCTTAGCGATGGATCAACATGACAAAGACAGCCACTTACACTGGCTCTTCGAGGTCATCGGAGTCATCATCTCTTCAGCGAGGACATTTTTTTTTATGTACCTTTGGTGTGAGAGGCTCTGGGGATGGTGACGAGCCACCAGATAGGTCACTGGAAGTTGGCAGTCTGGATCGCATGATGGGAAGCTCGCCGAATGAAAAAATTACGTGTCTTGACCGGCGTACTTCATCATCTACACGCTGGTGAGTGACACGGATAGCCTGGTCCGCATGAGTGCCAAGACCTGCAATCTTCTCCTTTGGAATAGTGCAGCAAGGGCATGGACAGCCACCCATGTCATGAATTGTCGCAATTAAAACCCTGACTGTCATTGAGTAGAGCACGCTGACAGTTAGAAAATAAACACAGACTTTTCGGGATAGTCTGCAGAGTATGTGAATATGTGAGGATAGATTTGTCGTCGGATGCCATCTGTGCAGTCTACAATGATACCATGCATGTATGCAGTAATAAAGTCATCGTCTATGATGAGGTTCCAAACTTGGTGAAAAAGTTCCCTTTGGCAATGTGTCAAAAGTGTCGGAGAGACAGCACGTCCTTTTAATTGCAAAAAGTCGGTGATGGAATCAGGCAGCTAGATTGAATTAGTATGAGTCATTTTAAAATGGTCAGACAGCAATACAATACTCACAGCATGCAGATAGGCCACGCAACAAGCAGCACGTGCAGTTGGCCTGCATCGATCATACTTTGACTGGTTAGCAAAGTAAGCATATATTGGCCACAGCTTGGCCTGTCCAAACTGCGCCACATGGGTGGCATCTGACCAGAACATAAATCCGGCCACCGCTCTTGGGAGATTGCAACCTGTTTCTCGTGGGGATAACTGCAGCTCGCGGTCTGCTGCCAAGAAAGCATCCCATGTGTACACCTCATTGAATACATGTTCATGTTCTACATCAGAGTGTGAAGGCTTCCAGAACTGCTTGAATGGGTGGAAGTGAAATTGTTTGGACGGGGGAGATGTGAAAACCTCCTGGATGATGGTGAGAAGGCTGCGATGGCGAAAGTTGGGAATGTTGAATCTGATAGTAGGTACCTCTGGGGCATCAGGATCAATCTTGCCATGGTGGTGGGCGGTTTGAACATCCCTCGCACATTGGCGCTTGCTTGACTTTGTGGTCTTCTCGCCCAATGGGATATCGATCGTTAGATTGGAATTTATCCACCCATTACCTTCCCATGGAGAGTCAGCATCGTCTGCAACTTGTGCATCTAGTTTGTCCATGTTAATGCCACATAAGTCTTCAGTCCTGAAGTCCGGATGTGACAGGACATTCTTGATCAACTCTTTGTGGTCCGCCTTTGATTTGTTAGCTCCACGGTTCCAAAACCAGTGGTTAAGCAGGAACGAGCTCATATTGTGGTATGGATGTATATTCTTGGCAAGAGATTGGGGTCCCTCATTACTGGGTATCTGGGCAGAATTCCCACACAGCTGCTCGAAATCAACATCCGCATCAGGAACATGTGAGGGGCGTCCACGATATTCACGCATGAGGTTGAAGGAATTCACGAGGGTGTGGAAAGTTTCAGTCACCAGGAGACGGACACGTGATGGAAGAACATGAGAGGGAGGTTCAGTATTGTTATGTGTACTGGAAGTAGCTAGTGGGCCTGGTCCTTCAGGCAGCATGTCAGACAATGTCTCACGCACTTTAGCGCTGGGCCGTCAAACACGTTTGCCTAGAGGATGATTGTTGATGTGGGGTGAAGTGGGTGTAGTAGAGGCATCTGCCATTAGAGACGGTTTGTTGTATGTGAAGTTGTTAGCCGTCCAGCAGGGGCATGTGTCTGGGAGGGGGCTGGCAGCCTCGATTGGTGGGTCAGTCGAGCTCTGTTCAAGTAGAACATCAGTAATGAGGCACAGAAGGTTGGAACTACCCACAGGATGCTGCACCTGCATCGCCCTAAGCTTTGAAGCTATAATGCTCCCATTTCAGCACGGCGAGACTTGTATGGAGTAGATATGTTGGCCTCTGCACGTTCAGGATGTAAACACCTGGTTTTCCACTTTGAAGGCCCTGGTGACAGGCCAACATTCTCGATGGTGCATTTGGAATGTTGAGCATGCTGATATACCCTGTCAGAGTGTCGTATTGCAACCCTGCATCGTGTAACATGGCGGGTGAATGAACTGTCATTGGCAGATTGTTGTCCACAAACACAATGAAGACTGGAGGACATGAATAAAAACGTCAAGACCGTGACTAGTAAACAGAGTGGTGGGAGCATAGGTATGAAAATTGCCTTTGACGTATCGAAATTAGCACAATCATATCAAGATCAGGTGACTCACAGACAGCTCCATTGGAAATTTTCAGTGTTCCTTTGATTCATATTATCCATCCAAAGTTTTAAGATGCTACTTTGTATTGAAGTTTAGCTCAATGGTACTACTTTTAGATAAAGAAAACTTACACAAACAGTATGAACAAAGTACCTCATGTCTTGCTCGCCGGCTGATGCACTTGCAGAACATTTCGTTCACAGTCCCCAGAGGCTGACATGGGGGCAGGTACACCCAAAGGCAAAAGGTATGTGAATCGATTGTCGTGGAGGTCTTGTTCTTGTCCCTAATAGAGATGCAGGCGCAAACTGATCAGGAGGATACCACTATCAGAGTTTATGAACAAACCTGGTGAGGCACTGACCACTTCACCTGTCCCTCCGTATACGATTGCCACAGTAGCTGAGGTGCCAGAGACACCTGTCCCTCCCTACCGCCAAACTCCAGCACCCCTAGTGGTCTCTCAGATGTACATGCATAGGATTGTGTCGGACCGTTGGGAAGCAGAAATCAAGCATTGCAAGGCAGAAATCAAGCACTGTGAGGAAGCGCGAAGGGCGCACTTGTTGGAAGTGCAACTGGCTGCACATGGAATAACTAAATTAGTCTAGTTGAATGAGCCTCACTGGCCCTACCACAATGCAAAAATAATTACAAGTCCGTTGTTTCCGCTGATTGATCCAAGAACCTAAGTGTGCCGCGCTGCAGATGGTTTATAAAGAGATTGTATTCACAGACAGGAATCGCGATATTGTAAGCGTCACACAATCTGGTTGCAGTCACCACAATTGATTGCACTGATTTGTAATACGACTACAAGTTCTCACGTGCAGGTAAATATTGTAATCTTATGCAATCTCATAGGGAATTTGCTGATGGAGGGATCCATGTACATGCACGCTCATCGACATCCACCAGCTGTTTCATATCGCTTATCTTGTATCTAATATATAATCCACAATGATCAAACTTGTGTTTATCAGCCAATTGCAAGGCCTCAATACCAAGTATGAAGTTATTCACGAAACTCACTGTCGACAAATCCCACCGGCACCTTCATCATAACAACATGCTAGCAGACCGGCACACATACTTCTGCTCCTGCTACAGGAAATGCGGAGGCACACCAACGGAAGTCACTCATGCTGTCTACAGGTCTCACACCAGGGCCTTGTGATACGCATTCTCCGAACAGGAGGATCAGAGGATGGAGTCGTTCAAAGTCACCTGAAAGACGCAGCCACCATGACGAGAAAGAGGACAGAAGGTCTCATCACACTAAACGTTCAAGGTCCCGGAGTCCATACCGCTCACGCAGTCACAAGTATCAGAGATAGAGGAAAGGATCACCACAATGTGAGACATTTGCTGTCTTTTTCTGATGTTGTTTTAACCCTACTATAGGACCAAAACAAATACCACAAGCCTTCCGAGAGTTCTGGGCAAATCAGAAGTCGCAGTGTTGTACGTTGTCGCCTCATTTTTTCTGCTGAGTTGCCTTTGACCTTTGAAGATATGTGGATAAATGCATTGTAGACCGCTGAACATCGACGCTCGATCTCCCTCACCTTTGGCAAACTCTGTTGCATCTATGTCATCTAAGGAGCATGGTGACAGTAGTCGACAAAGGTTGCAGGGGAAGTCGCCGATCTCGTTCTCGTTTGGATAGTCGCGATGTTCGCAAGTCCAAGTCAAAGCATCAAGAGAAAGATCGAGACAAGAAGTACAAGAAACATATACATAACTACACCTAGGGAGGATTTTGTCCTCAGAGCAGAGAATTTGCACGCCCTTGGTCTCGCTGGCAACCACCCTTTTGAAGAACTTTATTGCTCTGGTGATCCTATTCCATCACAAGCGTCCCAGTTTGCACTTGTGGATCATAATGCCCCTTGACACCAGATAGGCGTCTCCGACAGCCATGGTTGTTGCAGTGATAGATCATCACGAAGATGAAGGACAATACAAGAATACTAGTACAACTAATCCCAGGATAGTCGAACCGGCTGGAAGTTGCTCATCTCTTGTTACAAGATTGTATCAATCATCTTCCGACCTTTGCATACCCCCAGAGATATCCACACTCTTGCTAAGTGCTATTTTAATCAATACTCGAGGCCCGAAAGAGGGGAGGAAAGCTCTGGGTGTTGACAGGGAGGCTGCTGCATTTTAAATTCCCAATTCCCTTCTGGCACACTAGGAAGAAGTCTCCGCGTCATCAGATAACCAAACAACCATCCACATCCCTTCCGTTCTCTGTCTGCGACGTTAGGAGAGAAGAAACTCTCTGTATCCCATATCAGCACGCGGGACTTGCTGCGGAGAGACTACAAAGAGTACTCATTCAGCTGGCCTGCATCCGAGGATGCGACCCAATCTTTCAATACAATGAGAGTGGGTCTTGTGCTCTTGTTTTACCTGCCTGCCGCTGCATCGTGCTCTCATTTCACTCACTTGCTGCATTATTCATACCTGTTCACTGGAGGATAGCGGAATCAAGACTGAAGGCACTTGAAGAAGACGTAAGGGCGGACGAGGAGCTAAGGGTGTATTCGGATGGATCTGCAATAGATGGAGGAGTGGGTGGAGCTGCAGTAATGATGGAGGGAAATAGGATGTTGAGGGAGAGCAGGTTTTACTTGGGAAAAGCGGACACACACATGGTGTATGAGGGAGAGGTAGTGGGCATGATCCTTGCAGTCAAGCTGTTCGAGGCGGAGCTAAAGTCGAGGGGAGGAGGAAACAGGACGATGGCCTTGGGCGTGGATAACCAGGCGGCAATCAAGGCTTTGCTCTTGTTCTGGTCAAAGTGCAGCCACTACCTGATCAACAAATTCCATGACAACTTACGCTCCCTCCTCCCCAATGTGAGTGATGGGAAACTAATCATACAGTGGGCAGCAGGGCACATCGGCATCACTGGCAACGAGATAGCTGACGAACAAGCTAAGAAGGCAGCACGAGGAGAAACATCAGACACGCACCTCCTACCCACCTCACTCCACTTGCCAACCAATACACCCCTCATCCTCCCAACCAGCAAATCCACCATCAAGCAAAGCTTCCGTACCATGATCAACGAAGAGGCAAAGACTATCTTGAAGTGCTCACCCTGCTATGACAGATTCAAAGAAATAGACCCTTCCTTCCTGTCCAATCAGTTCGTAAAGATTGCAAACGAATTCCCAAGATGGCACACAGCCCTACTCGTCCAGCTGCACACTGGCCATGCACCCCTAAACAAGCACCTTTTCAAGATAGCAAGAGTGCCCTCCCCCATGTGCCCAGCCTGCGAGGAGAGCGAGGAATCAGTCCACCATTTCCTACTATCGTGCCCAGCATACACAAGACAAAGAGCAATCCTAAAGGCAGAACTAGGGACCTGAGCGCAAAGCCTATCAGGCCTCTTGAACAGCGGAAAAAGCATTAAGGCAGTTCTCAAGTACATCGCCCAAATGAAACGTATGGCAAACACCTTCGGAGATGTCAGCCCCCCAGATGAGAAAAAGTGACCCCCAAAAGATGTACTAAGTGCTTAGATATCACCCATCCCAATCGCCTTAAGATGGCATTGATCGTCCTCACGCAAGCTGGGACCAGGATTACAGTTCTTCCATGACTCAGATAGATTGTAGAATAACATAAATTACATACTGCATGTACTGTCTACCATAGGGCTTCGTGCCCACGGACATAAAACAAGGATTAAAAAGAAAAAAAAATACATCAGCAAACTACCGGGGCCTTGTACACATTGGTACAAGCTTCACAAGCCCATAGCTAAGTCCCCGCTGTACAGGCTTGTACAAGCCCTACAAGGTCACCTTGTACTCTTTGTAAACCTTGTGGGCTTATGGATTTTCGACCACAAAGGCCAAAAGAAGTATCACTAGACTGTGTTACAAGTCACATCAGGTGATATTATTCACACATCATAATTTGCATTTGGTAGGGATTAAACCCAAGACCTCAGCAATTAGAAGTGTGGCATAATAACCACTAAGCCACAAGACCATTGATGGACCTCATTAATAATAGCAATATATACCAAAGAAATGTCACATGACCAAAATGCAAAAATTCTACCAAGTCAGTCTAGTCAATAGTGTTGCCACGGTGAAGGTTCAACGATACAGCGAGGCACAAACAGTGCTCCTGACTGTATCTATAAATGTTGTAAGGTCGCGTGTTGCCTAGTCTGCTATACTTGAGATGACAAGTGCATTCGACCCTAAAGGGGAAGTGAGTGCAGCAAGGATCTAGTAGTAGGCGCTGAAGGTGCTACTGGTTGGCGAATGCGAAGCGTGGGAAAGTGCAGGTGCGCGCGAGGCGCGAGAATGCGCGAAGCGCAGGAATGCGCGCGCATGTATGTGGAAACAAGAGAGAGTAAGAGTGAGTTTGCTTGAGTGAGTTTGCTTAAGTGATGGTTAGACACTAGACAAGAGGTGAGAGATGCAAGCTGAGAGATGTTATATGCGAGGTGCCAAGGAATAGATTTCAACTATGCTCTGCAGGGTAGTAAATGGGTATTGTTGTGGTTCCGTCCTCTGTCGTTCTCGTGGGTGAGTAAGTCAGTAATAGTATGTACTGCTGGCGCTTAAGTATGGCGCCTAAGCGCTGTCATGCGGAGCCGAAGCACTACCGAGTAAGGTATGTAAGGATATATGTAAGTAAGGGTCCATGATAAAAATAAAGATGGAACGATATGCAAATGTGAGAAATGGAAATATACGCACTAGGGAACTTGGTAGACAGTGGATGGATGCTTCCGGATGGCTGGTGCTATAGGGCGCTCAAGCGCAGGAAAGCTCGCACGCATATACATCGTGAAGCGCAGGAAGTTGTGCGCACACTGCGTGATGCGCGGGAAAGCTGCGCCTCATGTAGGAATAGCTGTAGGAAGCATACAGAATGATGCTACAAGTTCGTGCTGTATACTCCTTGGTGAAAACTGCAATATTGCACAAGGAGAGGCGTGAGTCTCTACAACGGCTCCGGCTCATTGCCGGTTTTAGCCATGGCTAGTGCCGTAATTAGCTGAGCTGAGCATACGGTTATAGCTTACATAATTTACAGCTTGGCCCGGTTAAGTAGCCGCAGTTAAGGCTTAGATCCAGCTCAAAGCCAGCTGAATTGATATATCTTAAAACCAAAAGTAAAAATACATTAAAGTTTACGATCAAAGATCAAGCACCGAAGGAGGATGCTGTAGTGTCGAGCTGATCGTCTGAATCACAACATACATTCTATACATTTGAAGCCAATGGGCCCCCACAAAGACGTAAGTGTTCTCCTGCATCCCTGGTGTTCAATCAAACGCTAAAAGAAAGTCAGATCTGTTGCAGTTTTGAGCGCGCACGAAAGATCCAAGAGCGCAAGAGGGAATTCAAGTGCAGTTGCGCATCAAGGAAGAGGGAAGCAGACCAAAAGACAAAAGAGCAGGAGACGGACGAGCGCAGATGCGCATTGAGGAAGAGGGAAGCGGATTGAAAGATGAAAAAATGGGAGAGGGAAGAGCGCCGATGCGCATCAAGGAGGGAAGTGGATCAAAAGAAAGCTGCTGGTGGGCCATCAAGCTTGAAGTCGAAGTGGAGATGTTGGATCTTGAGGATCTGGGGTCGTGAGGTGCGGGACGAGGCGAAATAGTGGTGTAACAGAATCGAGTGATGTAACCGGCTTCTGTTCAGTGTGATTCTAATTAGTAAGTAGGTATCATGTAAGAGTAGATAAGAGTTTTACCTGCCAGTGCTTTGGAGAATCGGGTCCAACTTGTCCTGAAGGTAGCAGGTGCAAACATCCAAAGGAGCTTGCATCTCAATATGCAATCTGGAGGTTCGTAGCGACGTTGACGCTAGATCGTAAAGGTTAGCACGATAATTCCACCTCTAATGAAACAGGAACTAAAACTTACGTCCCAGAAGGAAATCTCCAGCTGCCATACAGACGCACTCTTGAGGCTCGTAGCAATGTTCACGCTAGATTGCAAAGGTTAGCATGATCATTCCACCTCTAACAAAACAGGTACTAAAACTTACGTCCGGGAAGGAAATCTCCAGCTGCCATACGAACGACTCTCGAGGCTCATAGCAACGTTCACGCTAGATCACGAAGGTTAGCATTTTCTGTCCGCTTGGGGTAGGTGCAAGCTGAGGGATGGCGTCACAAACGTCACACAATAGTCAGACGAGGAAAGGAGGGAATACTTACATTGTTTGTTGGGGTAATGAGACATTTGAAGGACTTGACAGGGCTACATGCCTGTGAAGTCACTGTGAGCGATTGACATGAGAGGATTTGAACTTACCAGAAGAAGTCTGTTCAGAAAGCTATTGGTGATGCCACCAGATATTGAACCAATGAACAGGGGAGAGTCGTGTGCGGGAGTGTGTAGACTCATAAGATTCTCAAACAAACCTTTATTCACAGGTCTGAATGCTCGATATTAGAAACCTAGGGGAGAAAAGAGTTAAACATTGAAATCGATATAATAAAAGACATAGTGCAAGCGAGCACTGAGTAGTGGTACACAAGATTATGAAAAAACGTCAAGGATAAAGAGCAGGAACGTCAGGAACATTGTCACATTCATCTGCTGCCATGGTTTTGAGAAGCGTGTCATGCTCGTGACTTCTACCGATACTGCCAGCAGATGACAAAATTTCCTCCTGGCGCATGTCAATCGACTCCAGCATACACTGTATTTGAGTGGAGTATTCCATCTCCTGCTCCGATGCTGCCCATCCTTTGGTAAAGTCGAGTCGTTCTTTCTTCAGTGAAAATTTCAGCATCTGGAGCATCTCCATCATAGCAGGGCTGAGGCGATTGCATTTTTTCGTGCATGTCTCGCTGCTCGACGAGAAAATGTGTTCGCAGGGGACAGCAGAAGCCTGGATAGGCAAATAGTCCATTGCGAGGCTGTAGATAGTGGGAAACAGGGACTTCAAGCTCTGGTCAATATATAATTAATAATAGAAGTAGGTGATTCAATAAAAAAACTCACATTCCAAAATGCGAGCACGTCGGTTCCTTGAGGGCTGACATGGGACATACTGTACGCATTGAATTCCTCATCAATTGTTTGAATACTGGGATCATGACGCGGCAGTAAGTCAGCATCAGGAATACTGTATATTTGCACGCCCAATGTGACAGTGCGTGGTTGGCGAGCCAATGTTTCTACCGGTCAATATTGAGTAGAATTGGCTCTCCTCTCCCGCAGCTGTAGGATATGTTAACCTAAAGACATGTTCGAGTCAAGGTAGACATACCAATTGCATAATAGACTCCCTGGCAGTATGAGCATGTTCTTCGACCCAGTGACCATCAATCCATGACAGACGTAATGTAGGGTCGACGACTATAGAAATTGTGAGAGATCGGCCAACCTGTACCAAAACCAAACTCACACATCGCGATTGCATACACGTTTGTCTTGCTCATCTTGTGGCCATACTTATCTGCACAGGTTAAACCTACATTAATCATAGGCGCACAGTGCGTGGCGATCCGGGCCACCCCTTCCCACTGCTCTATCAAACGTTCCAAGGCGGAGACTGCACCGCTCAGCATAGGGGTACTCTCACTCGACATTAATTGCTGGCAAGCATGGGGCGCCTGATATAGATTAGAACACTCTGCGGGCTTCAATGATATTGACACTGACCTCTAAAATCACTTCAAGGTCTTGCAAGACCATCCACTGCATCGGACTCAACCCATGTTCACTTAAGCTGGGTTGAGTCGCAAGGTAGCAATCGATGGCCTGGGCTACTGTGAGGTTGCAACAAATGATACATGAGACAAAATCTTACTGGGCAAAGTGTTCGAAGACGATTGAGCATGACATACATGGAATCCCATCAAGTGGGCTCATCACATAGGAGTCCGACAACTGGAAGCCTTTCTCCTGGAAATAAATTTGCTTGGTTGCCAATCATGATAGCATTTCAAAAGGCTTCTCGTCGTTGGCCTGATGCACGGATGACACACATGATTTTTGCCCCACTTGACTGGTGCAAGTTTCAGAGCTTCTGAATACGACTCCTTTTTGACAACAGTACTGCAAGCTTGCCACTGGGCAGGTGCTGCTGCAAGATCCACAGATTGGTAACCGGATAAGATGTGCTGGACGCATAAGTTGATAATATGCGGGAAACACGGAATCTTGCGATCGACAGGATCAAACTCGATACCACGCGCCAAAAGCAGACGAGAAAGCTCGTTCATCGCAGTCTGATTATTTGTTGCATTATCTAGAGTAAAATGACTGATCTAGACCAAGTCAGAATATGTTAAACAGTGCAGTTTTAATCACTGACCTTGTCTGTCACTTCCGCGCGATCCAGGAGGCCTAATATAATTGCAGCGAGTGATGCCCCATCGTGAGAACCAGGAACATGGGTAAAAGCTAGAAGGCCAGCCTTGAGAACAAGCTTTGATGCCTGCTGAGCGATCCAGTGAGCTGTCAATGCCATGAACGGATGGTGGTTCTCGTCTGACCAGAGGTCAGATGTGAACGATATCTTTCCCTCGGCTTTCTGAAAGAACATGAGATAATTTATAAAATCAAACAGTCATACACTTACGGCCATATCTTGTTTTAAAACATCAAAATATTCATACCAGGTTTCAACTATTAGCTCGCGTAGTTTTGTCCGATGAGGGATGTCGGACTCCCGTAGATCTTTTCGCAGAAATCGAAGTAACCGTCGGAACTCATGGCATTCCATTAAGTTCATCGCCTAAAGACGTCAGTTAATAACAGCATTGTAGAGAACAAATGAGTACTCACTTGGTCATCGACCACAATGAATTTGACGAGTTGCTTGTGCATCTCCTCAATGGTGAAGTCTGGGATCTCATCTGCAAGCGCAGACAACCCTAGCCTGGGTTGTGAACCAAGACTCCCACCACTGGGAGGGGAACCAAACGATTCCAAAAGCTTGTCGGGGTTCTGGTCAAGTTCTTGACTTATCTGGGTGAGAGTCCACCCCATGTCGAGAATATCCCGTACTTCCTTCGCCCCAACTTTCAATTTATATTGCTCGAGGGCAGTGATATAAACATGCAGGTGAAACTTAAGCAAATGACCGCGAAGAGTACCTGTAGTAGTTGACAAGCCGTATTCGATGATATTGTATGAGGGATCTTCCTCATGTATGTCCCTGGTGAAGAACGTGAGACAAAGAAAAAAAGACTTGGATAATACTCACACACAGGGGGTACACATGCGCAGCCCTGATGTCGCATCTTTTGTAAAAAAAATGGTGCACCTCTGATCCTAGCTGTTTTATGCGACGACCCATGGCCAAGGGATTGGATCGGGTTGAATTGGTACCTGTGTACGTTTGAAGTGGGCTGGGTTCTGTGCAGGCTGCGTTTACTGGGGTTAGTAAGCCGTCATCCTCTTCCTCATCGACATCTTCAATGACGTTGAGATCGATGAACTCGCTGTAGAGACTCATGCCTCTCCTTGTGCAATATTGCAGTTTTCACCAAGGAGTATACAGCACGAACTTGTAGCATCACTCTGTATGCTTCCTACAGCTATTCCTACATGAGGCGCAGCTTTCCCGCGCATCACGCAGTGTGCGCACAACTTCCCGCGCTTCACGATGTATATGCGCGCGAGCTTTCCCGCACTTGAGCGCCCTATAGCACCAGCCATCCGGAAGCATCCATCCACTGTCCACCAAGTTCCCTAGTGCGTATATTTCCATTTCTCACATTTGCATATCATTCCATCTTTATTTTTATCATGGACCCTTACTTACATATATCCTTACATACCTTACTCGGTAGTGCTTCGGCTCCGCATGACAGCGCTTAGGCGCCATACTTAAGTGCCAGCAGTACATACTATTAAAAACTTACTCTCCCACCAGAACGACAGAGGACTGAACCACAACAATACCCATTTACTACCCAGCAGAGCATAGTTGAAATCTATTACTTGTGTTTAATCATCACTTAAGCAAACTCCCTCTTACTCTCTCTTGTTTCCGCATACACGCACGCGCATTCCCGCGCTTCGCGCATTCTCGCGCCTCGCGTGCACCTGCGCTTTGCATTCGCCAACCAGTAGCACCTTCAGCGCCTACTACTTGCAGTGAGGGAGGCTGCAACAGGGGGAACTGCAGTGGCAGGGGGTAAAGTCTGGGGTGAGTTGACAAGGGGAGTTACAGCGGGAGTGGGAGTTACAGTGGGAGCGGGAGTTACAGCGGGAGTGGGAGTTACAGCAGTAGGAGACGTCTGGGATGTGTCGACAGGTGGAGCTATAGCAGCAGTGGATAAAGTCTGGGGTGTTTTCAAAGGACGTCGGCGAGGTGGCATGATCCTAAGTGTTGGGAATTCATGGAACGTATTACTGTTCTATATAAACCATTGTCCCATGAGTCACAGGAAATGCTCATGTGCACATGAACCTTGACTGACCTGATGATGAAGCTCAAGGTTTAATGCCACGTACATGTGACCATGCTGTTAAGTCTTGACAATTTGAGGGTGCATTGGCTGCCGTCGATTAGCGAAGGAAGATGCGGCTAGAGCCTCGCAGGGATCATCTAACCTCAAAACGTTGCAGGGTGTCAGTAACAGTACAATCTAGAACTCATCAAAGAGATATTACCTTTATCGACTGATAAGTGTGTCATAAACTGAACCCTCGAATTGTGAAGTGCGTGCCCTAGACATGCGGCCCAAAGTGTGATCATCCACCAAATTTACCTAAAAGACTGGATCATATGAATTAACCGCTGTGAACTTGCTAAATGAGAGAGTCAGAGAGACCATAGCTGTATGCAATCATAAGTCAGACGCTCAGGGTCTGACTTCTCTGAGCTCATTTATCAGCAATAAATTAGTGAATGGAAGCACAAACCTCACCTGCAGTCGCTGAGTGAGGCGATTGAATTTCGATCCCAAAGGAAAACTCAATGGGATATTGGAAAAAGGTCCCCCATGTGCCATACAGCATGTCGTCGATGAATGGCCGTCATTCTTACCTCAAAGTTGTGAATCTGATAAGGTTTGACTCCAAGTGAGTCATAATGAGTTGGGTCAATGGTCATACAAAGAAACAGTCATCTAGTGGGATGACGGTAGAACGCAAGGAGTAGGATACATGTTCATATTGATAAGAGACGTAACCTGGCAACATGTCACGTGACATAAACAAAGATATTCCATAAAACATTTGCTCGAGTATGAAAAAAAGAGAAATCAAATGCTATAGTATGTAACTAGATCTTACAGTATTGTGTCTGAAAAGCAGTGACAGGCATGGGAGTACCATTATGCGGGCGTAAACTTGGAGGCTTTGAGTTAGCAAGTCACAGTGTGAAATAGCAACCTCAAACTACTCACACACGACGAGTCGATCTGCGAAGAGGTGTTGTATATGGTTGACATGGAGGTACCTCCTTGGCCACCGAGTGATCTTGCAGGGATGGAGGGGGGGGTGTCACGAGATCATTGGATTGGGTGAAATTTACTGAGCGTATAGCTGGTGGAGTTTCTATGGCATGGAGCAATGATCAAAGATAGTCATAGTCGGGATCCTCTGAGAATGCAAGATTGCGCGAGTAAATAAGCATAGTTGTGATCTCGGAAGGAATCCCAAGGCACAAAACTTTAATGGTGGTATCCACCTTGCATGCCAGGATAGAAGAGCTAGAGAGCTTCTCATTGTCGCTGGTCAACCATGGAAGGGAGCTGTGTAAGAAGTAAATCAGCATGTAAATCAGCGACTCCAGGTCATCACGACGACCAGGCACGACTCCTAGGTGGTTGTTTATTGACGCAAATGCAGGCGTGCCAGTAAGACATCGACCTTGACGAAATGGCATGTGGGATTGTGCTGCAGAGTTCCAGTACTCCTTCGCGATACTGAAATCAACAATAAAGACAGTGTTCTTTGAAGCGCCATGACTGACTAAGACATTTTGCAGCTTAATGTCACCATGCATGTAGTTGCGTGAGTGGATATGCTCCAGAGACAAGAGCTAGGAAATAAGTTAGCATCTGCTGCCAGGACCACCATAAACCAACCTACCAGTTGGTCCCCAAAATTCAGGATGGTACGAAGGCTGAATTTTCGATTGTGCTTGAGGAAAAGATCGTGTAGTGATGGCCCGAGGAGATCGAGAACTAGAGCATCATGTGCTGCCTCTCTACCAAACCACACAGCACGTGGAATCCCAACTCCACCTTCAAGTTGTTTCAAAATGTGATATTCATGTTCTAGAGAAGATGAATTGTTGATCAGGGGCTCAAGTTTGACGGCAAGTTCATCGTCATTGATAATGTTCCGTGCACGGTAAACAACACCTAGTAATGGTATGATTAAATTCAAAATCAACATGTAAATTGTATATGTGAAAAATGACATACCATACGAGCCGGATCCTAAAATATCCCCCAGCCTAAATCTGCCATCGACTCGAATTGGGACGTTGCTCATGATACACTAAGATATTCCAAGGTTTATTAGACAGGAAACGACTGAAGAGGTTGCATGCAGGTTGGTGTCAAGTCGGTTGAAGCTTGCTTAAACCGGCTCAAGCCGGCTTGAACTGCCTTTCACACATAATGAGCTTAGAGTTGGTTCATATAGCTAGGCTGAGCTAGCTAAGGTGAACCGAACCGAAAATTTAACTGAGCCCACCCACTACTAACTGAACTACCGCATAACCGTTAAAAGCCGAAGCCGAACCAGCCATAGCTGAGCCACCTCAGTACTACTAGTCAATTATCACTACAACACTACCATTCTATTTACTACATAAATAAGACTACAGTAGCTTCAGATAGTTGCAATAGAATCGTACACTAATTTACTCAATATATATCCTATTTAATTTTCACTCAGAGTCAATAGATCTTGTACAGTAAAGATTAATATATATTTCAACTATATTTTCAGTAATTACAACAACATATAGTAGGTTAAGAATAGTAGACACTATCAGTGGTGTGGTATTTGATTATGTGCCTGTGAAGTTTGTAAGACTTGTGGTGTCTTGTGGCACCTTGTGAAACCTTGTGACACCTGTGACGAAATTAGTAGTTTGCTGATGTACCTGTTCACTGTATTACTATGTTCTCATCATCTCACTCACTGCATCGTTCATGTCTGCTCACTGCACCATGCTCTTGTCTTATTGTTGAATTTGCTTTGTAATGTTGATAATTGAAAACATGCTGTTTTTTGTTATACATGATTTTACATGGCAGGTTATTTTTAAATGTATATGGGCTAACTCATACACACGCATACACTGTGTGCCTGTATGGTTGTGTATGTGTGTGTTGCAGGTTTTGACTAGAAATTTGAATGCTTACACAATGGGTGCTTAGTGTTCAAGACAACTCAGTCCACCATTGATATTGATTTTGGCAAAGTCTGAAAAGCATCTGTTTACATTTGTGGCTGTAGACTAAACCAAGGCTTTGTTTCAAAATTTATGATACATCGGATTTGTGTTGGATTAGCAGCCAGGTCCATTTTGTGTCTACTCACTTACCATTTCTCCCTTGGAATATGGTCTGATCAATTTCTCACTTCTGCAGTGAATATGCAAGTAGTGCTGGCAACCTCCAACTTGAAGATGTACAGTGTGACTCAGCCATATGCTTACCACATTGGTAGTGAGTCTACTCAGGTCTTCCACACTTAGGGCTCAGCAGGGGTATGGGTATGGGTATGAAACTTGAGACCCATGGACCCCTGAGCTTCTGACTATCTATAACTGTAGAGTACTATATGATGAATACACATTGCAAATTAATGAGTCTCAGGCTAATACCTGCACTACTCCAACTACATATATGTACTCTGCTCCTACTATTTTTACCTAAATAGACAATAAAACCCACTGAAATATTGATATGGCTTCAGAAGGTAGCTAAGTGAAGTTAAAAAACTATTCTAGCAACTTCTGTTGATGTCAAGCATATTTTCAGCTGAGCACTTCTCTCTCATATTCAAAGCTGTCTCTCTGCACAGACCATATTCACACATCTTTGCACTGGAGTATAAAGCCAACCAGGATTGGTATAACATCTAGATGTGATAGCATTGTCATCATGGCTGCATTTGGGTGCTGCACAGATACACATGCAGAGCTTGGGAACCAAGGACAGTGTACTTTTTGATTATTTTTGTACACTTGTATATAGGCAACCCCTGGAGGTCATGGGTAGGGGTACTCATGGGTAGAGGTACTTGTGGGTAGGGGTACTAAGGAGTATGAGTGTGGGTTGGTGTCTGGATACTTAGGGGTTTACCCCTGCAGAGCCCTATCCACACTTACCATCTGAACATTACAAAATCTTTCACATCAGAATCATTTACCTGCTGCAATAATAGCAAATTCACAACCTATCAGTGACTCAATTACACAGCCCTACTATTAGACCCCTGTCAATATCTACTGCTATAACAACATTCACACACATACACATGCAGCCCCTAGACAATACCTATCAAGCATATCACTGGTCCCCTGGTCTGATCCATAATATTTACCTTCTGTTTGGGAATTGTTGTGGTAATGGGGATAATAGATTTCCTTGGCTCAGAACTAGGATTCCATAGATGGGTCAGTAGGATATAGGCTATTTTGGCCATGATTCTTACCTGGGTTCTTGCCCTCACAATATCCCTTATTCCCATGATATGGACAGAGGTTGAGGACCAGCAAGGAAGACCAGTTGGTCCTGTCCAATTTCTTTCCTTTATTTTCTCTATCTTTTGGGCTGTATGGTTTGATAAGTTGTATCTAGGATTCAGGACTCATATAAGCTAAAGTTTTCAAACTCATGGTCAGATGAGTTAGCATCTGCAGGTGTACTTGCAGGTGTATCTCAATATACAGTTATACTTCTTGGACATTCCATATTCACTACATTTATCAGATTCTTTGCAGACCTCAATTTGCAAATTTGTCCACTTGAAGGGGTGCCCTCCAGGAACATCTGTGAGTATAACATGCTATTTGTAAGTTTTGTTTTTATTCATCACTTATCATAAAACTAATTATCTACATTAAAGCCTACTAGTACTAATTCACTCTCTTTACTTTGCTTATAGCCACATTCCACTAGCCCAGAATCACACAGACCCTCAGATGATGCCTGAAAGCATACTATTTTGTCACATTGTCACAGCACTCTGCTATGCCAGTTGGTTTTTATTCTATTTTGTTTTGTATACTACATTATTGTATCATTAAAGTCCCTACATCACTGTCACAATCCCTTAAATGAATTAATGCAGGGCAGAGACTAGGACTCAAACACAAGATAATTACAACAAAAGAATAGGATTGAGCAGATATGTCTGGGCTGGTACAATGATGTACAGATGAGAGGTTTGAACTAAAGAACTACCTAACTATGACAGACTACCTATATACATATATTAATATGGAGATCAAAACTGAGTATCAACTAACTAACCAATCAAAATAAATAAAGGTATTGTACAATTCTATATATATAGTGGCTCAAAAAAGTGTCTTAATATTTATAGCTTTTCATGTAATTGCTATATCATGTGTTGAGATGTGGGAATATGACTAAGCTATAGGGAGGTGCTGGAAAGCTCTGCTTCTCAATTTCATTTCATTTCCCTATATCGTGGGAAAATAATGACATTGTGTGAAGATATGGTTACTTTAATTTGATGACTCATTGGGACACTTTTTTGACTTTGAGTTTGACTAATATAATCTCTATAATTCTAGTACTTTGTGTGACCTCCTTTTGCCCTAATCACTTCTGCCACTCTTCTAGACATATTTCCTATCAATTTTGGGTATTCCTCTTTGGCATTTTCATCATACTCTGCTGTAACACTGTCTCATAGTTAAAATAGCCCCTATGGTGGATCTTGATATGCTACAAGCAATTTCTTAAACTATTCTTAGGGATATTCAATAGGGTTGATGCCTTGGATCCATGCTAAACATGATAGAATGGTAATATCATGGTCTTTAAGTTATTTGGTAGCCAATCCAAAAGGTTGCTCTATATGACTCAAGATTTCTTAATTACTATATTTTAATTGGACAGGCTGCTGATGTTACCAAGGTGACTAAAGTGATTATTTCCATTATCTCTATAACTATCTCCACTAAAATAGTCAGTCAGACTCTCAAGACAGCCCATCATAAAGCTGTAATAATAATAAAAGATTCTTCTGTCTACAACCTATAGAAAGAAAAGACAAGATGCTGCTTTGAAGTACAAATACTGGACTGCTAATAGCTGGAAGAGGTTTATCTAGTTAGATGAGGTTAAAATCAATAGGATGAGATCATATGGCCAGGAATTTATATTAAAATAGGTAGGAGAACTATTAAAATAAAGAGAAATCAAACAAACACTTGAGTTTCAAGAAGAAATCTTGGTGATATAGGACTGTATAAGATGAAATGGAGTGGGAACTTTCTATGAAGCAGAGGGGAGGATGAATACAGAGCAGTATATACTCATTTGACAGAAGTATCTGCTAAGAAGCATGCAGGAGTCATAAGTTAATGAAGAAGATACTATTTTGTAACAAGATAATGACTCTAAGTATACCTTTAAATTGACCATCAATGGCTTGAAGACCATGATATTACCATTCTATCATGTTTAGCATGGATCCAAGGCATCAACCCTATTGAATATCCCTAAGAATAGTTTAAGAAATTGCTTGTAGCATATCAAGATCCACCATAGGGGCTATTTTAACTATGAGACAGTGTTACAGCAGAGTATGATGAAAATGCCAAAGAGGAATACCCAAAATTGATAGGAAATATGTCTAGAAGAGTGGCAGAAGTGATTAGGGCAAAAGGAGGTCACACAAAGTACTAGAATTATAGAGATTATATTAGTCAAACTCAAAGTCAAAAAAGTGTCCCAATGAGTCATCAAATTAAAGTAACCATATCTTCACACAATGTCATTATTTTCCCACGATATAGGGAAATGAAATGAAATTGAGAAGCAGAGCTTTCCAGCACCTCCCTATAGCTTAGTCATATTCCCACATCTCAACACATGATATAGCAATTACATGAAAAGCCATAAACATTAGGACACTTTTTTGAGCCACTGTAACTATGATGTCATGATATGTGCCGCAACCACAGCAAGGCTCTGGAACATTCCAAGAGTATCACATGTAGTAAAGTCTTCAAGTCTGGGTTCTTCTGATAAGTCATGTGACCTAGGCATGGGTGATTCTGGTAATTCAATAATAGATGCAGTCATGGGAATATCTTCAACAGTAAATACATTCTTCAAAGTAGATGCTATGACTGAATGTTTAAAGGACTTAGAGTTCAGAAAAGAATAATAGTTTGTATTGGGTACTCGTGACAATCACATACATTACAACAGGATGATACATTTTCAATCTCATGCACTGTTGGTGAAGACGTCCTCCATACACTCTGACTCATAAGA